ATATATATATATATATATATCTTTTTTAGCCTACAAGATTTATTTAGATTGATTTTTTTATTGTTTCATTCTATACATTTAATTGGTTGGGTATTTAGCTTTTTAGCTTACTGGTTTATAAGATTAACCTAAGTTTATGAAGTTCACCCAAGCTTTCTTAGTTTTTTTTTTAATTAGCTTTTTATAAAAAAAATTAATCATTTTAAAAATAACATGGGTTGCCTCAAGATTTTTTTTCTTTGTTAGACTTATTATTTTTAAAAGGAATTCTGTTTTTAAATTTAAATTAATTAATTACTTTCATCCTTCAATATTTAAATCTTTAAGTGTTGAGCTTCTAGATTGAACCCAGGTCTAGAATTTCATGATTTAACTTGGACTTATAAGGTAGGCTTACTTAATTTTTTTTTAAGATTTTTTTTTTAATTTCATCATCGAACACTTTTTTTATTCCTTTTATATAAGATTTATCGGTCTTTTTAAAATAAAAAAGGTTTTCTTATGTTTTTTTTCCTTGTAATATCTAGTTTTTTAAAAAGAAATTTTATTTTTTAATTAAATTAAATTTATTGATTTTATTTTTTAATATTTAATTAAGTGATTGTTGAGCTTTTTTAACTAAATCCAAATCTATAATTTAATGCATTATGAATTTAAAAAATTAATCTAGATATATAAAGTTTACTGAACTTATTTGGTTTTCTACTTCTTTATTAAGCTTTTTATTCTTTGGTTTCATCCTCAATAATATTTTTTTTATTTTGAAAATAAAAATAATTAACTTATATTTTTAGTTTTAGTTTTTGTTGAATCTAGTGATTAGTACTTAAAAGTGCATTTTTATCATGGTTTTATATCATCATTTTGCACTTGAAGTATCAATAACTCCTTAACCAAAGCATGTTTTATAATAATATATCTAATAATATAAGATACCTTTAATTTGTGGTAAATGTCTATTTTTAGCATTTTTATCATGGTTTTATATCATCATTTTGCACTTGAAGTATCAATAACTCCTTAACTAAAATATGTTTTATAATAATGTATCTAATAATATAAGATACCTATAATTTGTGGTAAATGTCTATTTTTAATGCAGGTCTATCACATAAATGAAAGGATTGATTGATGACTTGAAGAACTTAAATTGCATGGATAAAGAGATGGTCAAACTTAGAGAAGAGATGTCGGTGCAATCCAAACCGGAACACTGTTCGGTAATTGGGTCATATCTGGAGCTACAGATCTCAGATTTAGGTCCAATTTATATGGATGGAAAGGTAAGACATAGGCCTACAACTTTTATATGGAGCCCAAGATCTAAAAAGGCCATTATCAAGTCCAAATTGTAGCAACAACAAAGAAGCCCGAATCTGTCTTCCAGCCCGAGCACTGTTCGGTATTTTGGCCATATCTGGAGTTCTAAAAGTCCAAATGAGCTGAATTTTTTACATAAGAAAGCGGAGACAATTGCCTACAACTTTCATGTTTACAACTGGCTCCAATTTTGACGTTATTAATGACATTTTGGGCAGACAAGAGAAGATAAGGATTGTCACCAAGTCAAAAGTTGGCCACCCACTTATCAATTAGTCATCAAATCAATAGTTCCCAATTTTGACCTATAAAAGGAGGCATTTTCCATGCATTTAGGCATCTTGGTTTCCAGATCAAGATCATGCTCTTCCTTTATCTCTATGTATTTTTTGTAATGTTTATGCTTTACTTTCATTAATATCAAGTTTATGCCTTTCATTTCCTTTTCTTTACTTAGTTAACTTTTATGTTCTTATTTTGTTTATCTATTTTTCTTTCTTTCATTATGTCTAGCTAAATTAATTATGTCAAGGTGAAAAGGTTACACTAATGGTGTAAGAATAAGTATAGTGTAAACTTAATATGGACTTTAATGTTTGATACTAACATGTTTTGTATTTGTTATCTTATTCACTCTTTAATACTTTGCTTGTTAAATGATTAATCTTGATTTATGTTGTATAACACTTGGTACAACAAATGCTTGGCACTCTCATAGCTCATACTGTATGGTATAACCGACACCTGAGCTATGAAAGGAACTTGATTTGTTGTTAACATAAGTTATAATCATGAATGCTTGACGAGATTTACAAGTACTAGCATTAATCGAATAAGATGACTAATGTAATCATGTTAACAATTTATAATATGATTGGAACCTCCTTTGTGTGTGGTTTCCAATTGAATAATAAGAGTTTATATTATACTTGTTTGACATACCATTAGTGGAACCTCTAACCTCGACATTTGTTATTATCATTGTTTAATCGTTACATTAATATTCCATCTCAAAGTTCTCATCTTCTTCTTCTTCTTCTCCTTCTTTTTCTTTATTATTATTATTATTATTATTATTATTGTTGTTGTTGTTGTTGTTGTTGTTATTATTATTATTATTGTTATTGTTATTGTTGTTATTATTATTATTGTTGTTGTTTTATTATTATTGTTGTTGTTGTATTATTGTTATTTATAATTTGTACAATTAACCTCCCTGTGGTTCGATCCCGGTTTTGCCGGGTTATTTATTACTTCGACATTCCTGCACTTGGGAGAAGACATCAATATTTTCGTCGTGTCATCTAACTTTTTTTTTTTTGACAAAAGATATCCTTTTAATTAAATTAAATTAGTTACTTGAGTATAATATACTCACTTCATACATTTTTATTTTATTTATTTTCTAGATCATCGTGCTTATAACATGTAAGATATCTTTTATTTTTGAGATTCTTAATTTTTTGTTCTTCCTTCTAGAATTGTTATTATCACATGATAATTTTTTTATATTAATAAAAAATTAATCACAAGACAACAGGGAATACAAAGGTGACCTTCTTGTGACGGTGATACAAAAATAAAGAGAAGTGAAAAGTCAAGTCACCTGAATATAATGAGTAGTAGTAGACTAGGATTCCAAGATTGCAAAATAATCTGAGAAGAAGATTATCAAAAGAGAAGAAGAAGATTCAGTTTTCCATCAAAAGCAAAGGCAAGTATCAGATTCCTTTATCAGAATCTCAGCATACTTCCTTCCTTGTTTCTTTCTTTCACTAAAAGTTCCCAATCTTCTCCGCTTTCTACAGTTTTTCATTCAAGATAATAATCAGCCTCCAAAGCTGCCTGCAAAGAATCAAGCAGGTAAGTACTTTTATTCTATTTTTCAATATTAGATCTCATCTGGGTCTTTGTTTTTTCTTCCAAATTTGACAACGTTTTGTTATTAAATTTCTCTTCAACTTCGCTTTGTTAATTAATATTTGTTTGAATTTGTTACAGTAGAACAGTCGTGTATGTTTGATCTGTTTGCTTTTTGACATTGCAGTTCGAAAGTTTTTTTTTTTTTTTTACATGAATCGAAGAAGATTGAAGGAAGAACTGGGATTGTAGTTTAGTTTAGAGATGGCTAGTTTTTGACACTCTGTTTTTCTGTGGGGATTGTGGGTTTCAAATTTGGAAAGGAGAACTGATAACATGGCTTACAGTCTCTGTCTCTGTCTCTGTCAACCCTGGTATTGTTGCTCAGCTTAATTAAATTGTTATCATCCGATTATTAAGAATTGAATTGAATGAAATGCTGTGAAGTTGCTATTTTCAAGAGAATGGAATGGTGCAATCTCTATCCGCTTTTTGCTTAATTATCTGTGCATGGGAATATTTTTTTCGCATAGTTTTATCTTATTGTACACTTGTAGTGCTTTTGATTTAGTGGGGGAATGAGTGATACGTCTTAGTGCTGATTCTTGCAATTCCCAGTCTGCAATCAATTAGAATCATTTGAATCATATGATTCATACTGGAATGACTTGAGGAGCATGGGAACCCAGTAACGAGTTTTTAGAATCAGTATTCTTTAGGAAAACATTTTTAGCATTAAGACTCTGTCATCCTTGCTGCCTATGGACAAAACATGCTAGAATACATGTACTGTAGCTCAAAGAATGTAATATGTTAAGGCAAAGATATTATTTGTGAAAGTTATATGAAGTTGGCTGCTTATGGTAAGCAAAAACAGGATTAATGGGGGGCCAACAATCTTCTGATCTTGGCCATTCTTTTAATCCTGTGGGGTTGGCTCAAGTGGCAAAGAGATTGAGCTCAAGATGCACATCCACGTTCATCTCCCTCATGTTTTTCAGGACAAAAAAGCTTGTGTATGGGTGACCTGCTCTTGATTGAGCGATTCATGGTTTAGCATCGTTCTCATGATCTGGGGTTTATGCACCTTTCATATGACTCCTCCCATAGAAAAAGAAGAAGAAGATGTTATGTATTCTTTTATTCTTACTTATTTTCTATCTCCTGACATGTGCTTCTTGTCTGTGCTGCTGCTTTCTGGTAATTTCTGTGTTTTTTTCCATGGTAACAAACTTATGACAGGATAATTTTCTGTGTTCCAGCAACTGATGCTTGGAGACATGACTAAGGTGGTATAAATGGAAGAAGTCCAGCTGCATGTTCTCCAAGTTTACCATATCTTTGAAGGCGATTAAAAGCAAAACCATCAATGGCAAACCAAAATTTTTCTCATCATCCAGCCATATGCTACAGACCTATACAACCTTCTGATTTGGAGGTATTAGAGCGAATCCATGCTGAGATATTTCCTATCAGGTTGATAGCTTCATCTAATGCTCCTTTTCCTTTTCTTTTGAATTTTTTTTGTGGGTTTTAATCTGTAATATGCATTTCTTGCTTCTAAATGGAAATGCATTCCTCCTTTCAGGTACGAGTCAGAGTTTTTCCAAAGTGTTGTCCATGAACGTGATATTGTTTCTTGGGCTGCAGTCGACCGCAGCCGACCTAATGGTCACAGTGATGAACTTATTGGTTTTGTTACTGCACGGATTGCAATGGCAAAAGAAGCTGGGGTGGGTTTTCTACTTTTTCAAGGGGCATCGCTTGCATCTGTGCAGCACATAGGCATATTTGGCATATACTTGTGTGATGCAACAACTAATAAAAGATATTCCCTATATGCGTCAAGCCAGTTATGACTGGATAACTCAAGCTCATGTGTTTTATGCAACTCCTGTGACAAATATGAGCAAAAGAATTTCCTCATTCTAACACCCATGGTATTCTAATGTTGCATCTGTAGTGGGATTGAGCTATGGTTGGTTTTTAACATTGTAATTGCAACCCATATGCATTCATCATATGTAGGATGCACCTGGATTCTTCATTCAAGCTTTGTTCTTATTTAATTACCCAAATGCATAACATGTGTAATTCTGATATCATTATTGCTTTCCACAAATTATGTCTCTCTTTCTACTAACTCGTGAACTCACAACTGCTTTGTAGATAGGAGATTTGCTCAGGTATGACCCCTCAAAACCAGATCAAACATTAGTTTATATCCTGACGCTTGGAGTAGTAGAAACTTACAGAAATCTTGGTATAGGTAGGATCTGCACCACAAAGGAACTTTACTTTGAAATATCTGTTTGAAATATGCCTTGCTTTATGATTAATTACTTGGTTGTTTGATTTGCAGCAAGGTCTCTTATTCGTCAGGTCATTAAATATGCTTCAAGTGTTCCAACATGCCGGGCAGTCTACCTGCATGTGATTTCTTACAATGTTCCTGCCATTCATCTGTACAAAAAAATGTCCTTCAAGTGTATAAGAAGGTTGCAAGGTTTTTATCTAATCAACGGCCAGCATTATGATTCATTCTTGTTTGTTTACTATGTAAATGGTGGTCGTTCTCCTTGCTCACCATTGTAAGTAGAGAGCAGTTCTTTTATTTATAATATCCTTTTATTTCATAATTTGCATTTGTGCCTTTCTGCAAGATATATATATTTTTTTTAATATTTTTGGTGGTATCTGCTGTTTTGTGAGGAAAACATAAATTACAGAAAGGTAGAAATTTTCCAGGAGACATTTTTTGGGTCATATCCTTTTATTCACCCTGACAGTTGAAATTTTCTCACATGCTCACATAAATTTTGGAAGACCAAAGTCTGATTGGATAACTGACCTTGTCAGTGTGTGCCCATTCTATTGTTTGTTTTGTTGCTCTGACTGGGAACATGGTCGTAATTTCTTATGTCTGTGTATTCCATTCTTTTATCCATAGATTTCTGTTTTGCTTTTTCATTTTTAATTTTATGATCACCATATATAAAAAAAAAACACTAGTGACAGGAAATAAACATATAATTTAACTTTTTAAGTATAACTGGAAAAAGGAAATTGTGATTTCCTTATTGGAGACGAAACAATGGTTGTTTCAAATAAATTACTGGTGAGAGTGGTTTATGGTTTTGTTAACTGATGATCTTACATAAATTTTGCAAAATAGTAACTGGAGGTATTGAATTATAAATTGCATTACTTTTGTTATTTCTTTCTGCAAATTCTGAGTTTCTTAAACGATCATCTGAACTGTGACACTCATAACTTATGAAATTTCAACTGGCACTAGGCTGACAATTTGTTTTCATTCTGACAAGATGGAACAACATTCCATGTATATGTTAGCAGCTATGTGCATCATAAGCATGTAATGATGCCAGATTTTGCATTATGCACTTTTCTCTTCATTTCTTGTTTATTTCCTTATTTTCTCATTATAAGCGTGATATTCTTGCAGCATGCATTTTATTATATCTTGTTCTGTTTGACGTGGCCAGAAACATTTCCAGAATTTTTAATGTTGAAGATTCCTTTTAATTTGTGTGCAGAGAGCTTCTTTTAGCTGTGGTGAGTTACGTGACAGGTGGTCTTAAGTCAGTAGCTGCAAGGATAAGGAAAAATGAAGAGAAGACAGCAAAATGGCCCAAATGTAAAGATACCCAATCTCTTATATCAATGCAAACCAAGAGAAACATCACAACTCAATGCACTGGTTATGAATGTGTGTAATGTATGCTCACTTTGTTGTCTGACACACTTGGATCTGGAAGAAAAAGAGGAATAAATTGATGCATACGAAATGTTCTCCCCTTACCTGCACTGTTGGAGTTTCTATATATTATCTGATTTCTCCTCTCCCTCTTCATTAAGGGGTGATCTGTTTTTGCTTCTTTTATCACTTCTGCAAAAAGTCATTAGTCATTACATGTGTTCCATAAATATGATCACTGATTTTTCCGTTGCAGGACTTGTGTGAATGCCTGTCCGCTTACTGTTGTAATCACAGTTGTAAATATAACATCACCGTATAATTTTGATTGTGTTGTTCGGTTACCTTGCTAGCTTAATAAAAGGATCTAATAAGTCATATAACATCTTCAATGTGTATTTGCATTAGAGGAGTTTGTTTTTTCTCTAGACAACAGGGAGGAGTTGGTCGTCGCTCCCACGCCCATCTATCCAACACAGAATTACTTGAATGAATAAAGCGTTTCCTGTCTCAAAACCGAAATGCCCGCAAAAACTCAAAACAACTGAGGCAATAAGCTCCATGAAATTAGCTCCTTGAAGGATTCGAGTAAGAACAGCTGTCTTGTAACCATAACCTGCCTATTTTTAGAGTACTAACATCCTATCCATGGAAGCAAACTAGCCATAAATTGAAAGATGGATGTATGGTGACCGATGGAATAGAAAGGCAGCAAATCTTGAGAATGGCATCATCTCTCCCAAGTGGCCCTCTTGTTCTTTCTCTCTACTTGCTCCTCTTCCCTGTCTGTCTTGCTACCGATAGCGCTTCCATAACCTACCATGGGGGCCCTCTCCTGACGGGAAACCTAAACCTAACTCTTATTTGGTACGGTCAATTTGGGCGTGTCCATAAAAATGTCATTAGGGCCTTTGTTGAATCTCTACATTACAATGCGGGAGCCAACTTACAGCCACAAGTCTCGTCATGGTGGAATGTTGTTGAGAGCTACCAAGAGGTTGCCGGGAAGGGAAGCAGCCTTATCAACGTAAAAGTTGTGAAGCAAGTGACTGATCTAAAATATTCAGCAGGGAAAGTTGTCACTAGCGAATTTATTCAGAAAGTCCTGCGGAAGGCGACTGGTGGAGACTCCAACACCATCCCTGTTATTCTTACTGCTAGAGATGTTCAAACGCAGGGGCTGTGCTTCACAAAATGCTCACAACATGGAATGCTTGGTAATTTTATTTAATGTTTCCTTTCTATCAATGATAGTCTTAGCTTAGTTGCATTTATCAGAAAAAACATGATAAAATCTATATTCCTTACATGATCACATCATCGGAAAATATCGGTATCTGAAAAGAAAATCACTGAGAACATATGCAACGATCTCATTATATTTTATATTGGTACTGATTACTGATTTGAAATAGCAGGTGATCATCAGCAGCCATATATTGTGGTGGGCAATCCAGAAAGTGAATGCCCAGGGTCTTGTGCTTGGCCATTCCAAAAGCCAGACAAAGGGCCTCTATCTATAACATTGAACCCGCCAAATGGCAATTTGGGCGTGGATGCCATGGTAATCGCCTTTGCAAGGGCGTTGGTTGAAGCTGTGACCAACCCATATAAGACTGGATTTTTCCAGGACAACAGTAATAATGCCAACAAAACCGTGGAGGCCGCGTCAGCTTGCTGGGGCATTTTCGGAAGCGGAGCATTCGATGGCTACACCGGAAAAGTACGTGTTGATCCAGAAACCGGAGGTGGTTTTAATGGCCATGGAACAAGGGGTAGGAAGTTCTTGATCCCTGCTGTCTGGAACCCTAAAACAAAGTCATGCTGGACCTTACTTTAGCAAGCCATGAACGTACTATTAAAGGGAGAGGTGAAAATTTAATAGTATAGCTTTTCAAAATTCATTCCTTGTAGAAAATCAAATTCAATGTATAATTCGATTGCTCTCTTGGTGTTTCTCTTGGAGTGCGCGCACGCATGTTCTGAACCATGTATCAAGGGGTTTGATCAATTAGAAGTAACTGTTTGTATATTGGCATTATGCTGCGGTGACTAAAATTTTATCAAATGTACAAAAAAAAAAAAATCCAGGTTTCAAGAATTTTTTTTTGAAAGTATTATTAAATCTGAAAATTTTGATTTTTTTTTATGATTTTAACTTTTAATATTGAATTTTTTGAAAATAAAGCTTGTAAGTTTTTTTATTTTTTTATGAAATTATCTTATTTTTATAAATTAGATTATGAATTTAACATGATATACTACTGGGTTGGTTTGAATTATTTTATTATTTTTAATTTTATCATTTTACTATCATAATTTTGTATGTTATCAAAGAATTGATTTGTTGCTATTTAGGTAATGATTCTGTTTAGAAAACATTTATTGACGACACAATAAACAATTATTATTCACCGAAAAACTTTTGATTTGTAAATTTATATTACATCAATAAGTCTATTGGTAATATAAACATCAATAGATTTATAGATAGAAAATACATATCAAACAAAAATAATTACTAGTATCATTTCATTGGTGATTTTATTGATGAGTATGTCATATCACTGACAAATAAAATCATTTTTAATTTTATTGGTGATTTATTTCATATTATTGATGAATAAAATTTGTTACTGATTTACATATTGCCGGTGGCATTTCATGTATTTTTTTCAACTTTTTAGAATTTTTTGAAGAATTTAGTTCATCGATAATCTCATTAGTAATGTGTTTAATATTTTTATTTAAAAAAATCAAATAAAAATTAGAAGAAAAATTAAAAGAAATAAAACTAAAATAAAAGGATTAAAAAAGGTAATAATTTTTTTTTTTAAAATGACAACACCTTCTCTACGAGAGCCTAACTAATATTTATGATTTATTAATAAATAAAACCCCAAACTAATTGACTTTATTTATCACTTATATTTTTTTATAAATTGATTATTTTATAAGATGAATTGAACAAGAAAATATAATATTCAAACTTGAACATGTTCATCGGTAATTTTATTTATAATTAAAATTTAAATTTTTTAAATAAATTTAAAATTGCAAGAAGAACCCTTAAAATTCTCCGATAAATTTTTAGTCCGTCAGTAATGTTGTATATAATAGTCAGTGACAAAGTCATATAACTTTTTTTCAACTCTCTAAAATTTTCTACCAATTTATTCCATCGGTAATGTCGTATACAATTACATTAAATAAAGTTTATTACACATTGATATTTTACAATTTAATCAAAAATGTCTTTTTTTTTTTAATTTTATCATCATCATGCTCATCATAATCTTTTTCATTGAATTGATATTCATCGATTCAAAACATCATTTAACTCCTGAACATCAATATTAACAAAAAATATTCATATCTATATAAAAATTTGAATTTTTTCTAAGTCGGTAAATAAAACAACTCGATATATATCAACTAATTTATTAATTTAAAATAAAACAAATACCATTAATCTAGTTATTATCTATTTGATAGTGTAACTGTTTTATGCATTGATATAATTTTGAAAATTAAATTTCTTCTTTTCAAATTTAATTATACATTTATATTAGGAAATGATAAAATTAAGCAATAACTTCTTTACACGGGGAAGAATTATTGTCAACCTCGAAGTAAGTATATAATGAGTTGAAAATTTAGATAAACTAAAAGATAATAAGCTATTAACAATTAAGTCCTTGTTATTAAAGCTTATTTTTGTCTTCTAAATACCACTCAGTTGCAGCGAAGAGATATTTTCTTAAAAACTAATTTTTGGTTTTAATATTTATTATTATAAATATTTTGAAAACTATGCATTGATGAATTACTACGTACCAAGTATTTATTATTATAAGTAAATATTTTTTATCTACGTTTGTGTTATTTTTTAACGACCTTTATCCCGGAAATAACTATTTATAATGTTCTAATATTATATTTATTTTTCTTATAAGAAAATATGGCATAAACCTAAGAATATACGTCACTAAAAATATTATAAATATTCATAAAAGATTATAAAACCGGAATTAATTTTGAAAAAAACTAAAAAAACTGGGCTAGGCTTCCGGGAGCAACACCGCCCAGTGCACGGGCTCCTGGCTTCGGACCATAAAGTGTCAAATAAAAACAGAATCAGGCGATAATGCATTGACTGCTCAAACGACATTTTTTGGGTTGCCGAAAGTATTTTTATTTTAAATTATTATTTTTTTAATGTTTTAAATTATTTTGATATATTAATATTAAAAATATTTTTAAAAAATTAAAAAATATTATTTTATTATATTTTTAAATAAAAAATATTTAAAAAAAACAACTATGGCCATGCAATATATATATATATATATATCGTAAATACCATTTTTGTATGATTTTATCGTCACCTGGTAATACGTTAATTTCTGTATGTCTGTTTCTCCATGCCTTCACTTTGTTTCGAGCTGGAATTCTAGCTTCAGAAAGAAAAGACACGTTTGTTTAGTTTTAATGTGGAATGCCTTGTTTGCTTTGTTTTTAACCTAGTGTGACAAGAGATAATGGCTTGCCCGTTGGTTTAATATATTAACATTTATTATAATTAATTGATATATTTATATAAATGTATATTTATTATTAATAAAACCTTAATTCATTTTTAATATTTATATAATATTATATTAATAAATTTAATATTTAATTTATACATCTAGAGTAAAAATAAAATGTACGAGATAAAAATAATCTGTAAATTTTTTTATAAAATTGTTATAATTATAGGATTTTTATTATATCAAATCATTATTTTTAAAATATTCTTAATTGATATTCTTTTAAATACTAGATATTTATTAAAGTTGTAAAAATTAATATATATATATATATATATATATATATATATATATATGAAAGAAAGCAACTATTCTTGTATGTTGAGGTATAAGTATATTCAAATTTAATATGTAAGTGCTTGTTATAAAACATATACACTGAATTTACTTGCATGAAAATTTCATTTTGAGAAATCATTTATATTTATGGAAAGACTCACATGATGGTTGTGTAAGTAATTCTTGAATTTAAAATTACTAAGTTATTTTATATAATAATATTTATTTGTCTCTTAAATAATATCAATATATTATTTAAGAATAATTTTAAAAATTTAATCAATT